TATGTATGTATATTTGTAATATATATTATAATATGTATTTTAATGAACTATTAAACAAAATCAAATATTTTATTTAACAAATATTTTTCAACTTATAAATGTAAGATATAAAAATAATTAATTTAAAGAAATATTATATATGTGCATGTAATTCTAAAATTCAAATTAGATTTAACTCTAGCACCTACAAAATTAAAATATAAAATTAAAATACTTATATATTTTTAGATTATATATAATTCCAGTTTATTCATCTGATTTCATATTTATTTCCTTTCAAACACTTTTTAAATGGAATTGAATTTAAACTTGGTCTATTCAATTTAAAATAGCTACATTTTCCATTTTTAGCTTTATTCGTTTGTAATCCACCAAATTGTTTTTAGACCATTGTCGACCTGCTGTAGAAAATCAATATACCCTCAGCGAGATTTATGATATGCATTGAAAACGTGGTGAAAATTGTAACAGACATCAGACACCAGATCAGGGGAAAATGCTATTCAGCAGCTTTTGGCCAGTCAGCATCAATCTTCTTGGCTTTGGCTGCATAAATATTTGGCCAGTCTGTCGGACAGTTTGTGGGCAAGCGGAAAGAAGGGAGGAGGGGGAGTAGGGGGGAAGGGGCATCAACTGCAACCGTAAGTAGGTGGGTAATAAAGCCAACTTTTTACTGTTGCCATGAAAAATGTAACAAAGTCACAAAGCATTTCGCTTTGGCGCTCATAAAAATTGGTGTCGTCCATTGTGGCGTTTGCCTGAGCTCCTTTTGGCTCATTTTCATGGTTGTCGCCGGCTTTTGATGGCGTTTATGAATGATAAATGTCATTTTTGATTTTGATTTTCTATTCCATGAAATGTGCAAATATCGAACGAAGACAGAGACAGTCAGCCCGCATGGAACAGAGGCAAGTTCTGTTGCCCTTTTGTGAGGTTCAGTCAACTTTTTATCTGAGACAAGCCGAATTGTATAGACCATAAATACTTGTTTATGGCCCGAGTTGTTGCCAAACAACCAGCACATGTTTATTTGAAAGCCATTGAAGCAAAATAATAGAAAGTTCAACAGACAACAATTGGATTAAACAGGATATTGCTGGGCTGCTATTGACACAGTTTTAGAATTTAAAGTAAGCCAAATTTACACAATTTCCCTTATGGTTGTCAAAATACACTGTCATAAATGATTATTGAATAAAACAAGCGATGCAAAGAGCTATTTTTAGTGACCTTTTAATTGAGTTCAGCACAAATATTTTCAATATGAATATTAAAAACCATAAACTGTTATTAAATTATTTTCGTCTGACTTCCTACACGAATCTCGCCATTGAAATTGAATATGAACGTACAAATAAAACCCGGAAACTCAATTTAAAATACATGCGTTAATTTTGTTGTAATTTATGCTTTTGTTTGTTTTGCGCCATCGAGCATCTGTCCACCTCGCTCTATCTCTCTCTTTCTCGCTCCCGTTCGCTCGTTCGCTTTGACTTCCGCTTTAGCCCAAAGCCAGCGGAAGCAACAATTCGCCTAAGCGTCAACCTCGGGAATTGGCAAAAGTGTTTGCCAAATTGGCCCTAATGTAAGCGACAGCAGGCGTGGCATGAACTTCGACCCCCCGTGGCCAGAGGAGGGCAGGCCGTAATTTGTAACTCATCTTAATGGGCTTTTATAAGCTTCAGCTGACACGCCCACGCCGAGCTGGGGGCGTCTTTAATTTGTAATTTTCTATTTCGTAATTAGAAATTTTCGAGCAGTTGCTTAAGTTGCGCAGGAGTCATCTTTTTTTCGGGACTGGAACCCAAAAGTATTCCCACACATTTCGCGTCACGTTGCAAAAGTTTTTTATTATTTACCCAAGTCTTGAGACGTATTTCTTTTATGAATGCGGTCAACGGCAGCAAAAAAAGGACGAAAAGGAGGGAAGACAAAAAATTGTGAATGAAGAAAAGTTTTTGGCCCGCGCGACGCAAATAAAAATTTTAGTTTCGTTTTTATTATATTTATTTTTATGAATTCTGTTTCCTTCCTTTCACAATTTATTTCGCATTCTTATCAAAAAGGCAGCTCGAAACTTTTACCGGGCAGAGGAAGGGCGACAAAAGGGCTCAAAGCAGACATAGTTGGAATGCTCGGTATGTTGCTGTGGGTGCGTATCAAATATGCAGACTTTATTATGCTAAAGCATATTAAATATGTATTATTATTAATAGAAATATTTTAGAATATTTGAATGTTTTGGAAACCAAATTGAACTCTATTAGCTGCTGCCTAAAATATCTATTCATATGAAAAATACTTTGATATAAAAGTTTATGTATGTAAGTAATTCCCTCTTAAATGCTAAAAATAGATATAAATATGTATACTGAATGAAATGCAATTGAATTTGGCTGCGTTTAAGAAGATCTTTTACACACATCATTCTAGCCAGTTAAACAACTGCCTTGAGCCGCATTCAGACAGAACTGAGTGTCTCTTCTGGGGTCCTTGGACGGCAGCTTCTCAGCTGCAAACATGCAAGACATGTGCCAAAAAGTTTTACAATATGCCCGCAGCTTAACTCAGAGATAGGCGAGAGCTTTGCGGAGAGGAGCGGAGCCAGTCACTCAGTCAGTCAGCCAGTCAGTCAGTTTGTCGGTTTCAAGTGGAGTGGAGTGAAGTGGGCGTGGTCGCCAGCTGGTATGCTTAAGTAGCCTAGCATAGAAATAACTATGGACAAAGGCGTGAGTGTGGCCTCGATATACCCTGTGCAGCCCTTTGAGCAATTGGGCAGAAGTTGACAAAATTTAGTTTTCAATATGTTGAAAAATATTCAAGACAAATTTAAATCCATTTTCTTTCATAAGATAAGCTTGCATGGAAAATCCGCTCGAATTACCTGTCCTAGCTTTAAGCGACTCGGTTTTCAACATTTCTGATTAGAGGGTATCCGAGTACTTGGTCACAAGTGCAGCGGCAGCAGCGCAGTTTATGCAGAAATGTGCGCGTTTCAGTTGAGTTTTTGGCTCTGGCCTCTGACAGGCAACAAAGCAAATGGCCAAATAAATAAAAATAAAATGCCGGAGAAAAATGTTGCGGCATTGTTAAAGCTCGCCTAACACAAACTGTGTACATGTGTGTGTGTGCGTGGCTGTGTGGGTGGGCCTGGGTTTGTTTATTTGTCTGGCACATGGGCCCCAGGACTTGGGCTGTCGCTGCGATAATTTGTAGGCAAACGGCAGCCAGCCAGCTCGTAACCAAGAATCCAGCTCATGCTCGTCGTGGCAGCGTTTTGGCTTCGGCTTTGGCATGAATTATTTAAGTGAATTTCATTTCATTTCATAATTTATTTGCAACTAATGCGCTTTGGCGCTTTACGCTGATCGTCGTCGCATTTTTTCTCATCTCGAGCGCATAAATATAAATGTCGCTTAAGCTATGGCACATGCTCTCATCTATTATTAAGCCACTTTTAGCAAACAACTACAATTTAATGGGAAATAGAGGGAAATAGAGAGAGAGAGAGAGAGAGAGAAAACAGAAAATAAACAAAAGTTTCTACACAAAGTGTAAGCACTGCAGCTCGTTTGCTCATTATTTATTGGTAATATATATTTTTACTCTCTCCTTATGCTCTCCGTATAGAGTATATCCTGATGCTTTAATTGCCGGCCATTAAAAAGTTGTTGCACTTTCCACTCAGCCACAAATTGTTGTCGCATTTGAAAGAGCCAGTCGAGTGCATCGAGAGCCCCTTCGACGTCTATTTTCATTTAGTTGGGTCTTAGTTGACTTGGTCATGGTTTATGTCCAACTCTCGCACCCTCCGCCCTTGGCCAGCTCGGGTCGTAAAAATACGCTTAACGCCAGAGCCAAAGCTAAACTTTCCCAAAAATATAATGCGAAATAATAACTTCTCGCTTTTTTCCCTTATTTGTTTTATTTGTATTTGTATTTTTTTCGTTGCTTTGGCTCCTTTTATTTAGATTTTTATATGTTTTCTCCCCATTCATTATTTCTGTTTTAGTGCTCCTTATTTGGGGATTTGCTGGATGTTGTTGTTGTTCCTGTCTCATTCTGTCTCATTTGGCTGTTTGTCAGGCTCTGCTGTCGGATGTATTCTGACGGGTATTTAAAGTCTTATGAATACATCAGGAATTATTTTGTATACTGTCAAATGGTTTACGTTCGCTATAAGACCTTTTTTACTTGTTAGATGATTTATTTCGATGTTATTCAATTCAATTTTAAATATTTGTATACGAATTTAAAAATGTGTACTACTTTAAATGGAAGGGAAAAAAAAATAGTAATATATACAAATATATTTCTTATTCAAATAAATATTTTCATAAATGAACATCAATAATATTACAAATAATAATAATATATAGTATTTCAAGCAATCTTAACTTATCAAAATTCACTTCAATTGCAAAACAAACATTCAATATTATTATTATTCTTTTTTTCCTTAGCTTAAATATTTAAATGTATTCTTTGTCTCCTATGCCCTGTCTGCTAGGTTCTTCATTTAATCCTATATATTATTGGCTATTTGACAATTTGAAATTGCTTTCTTGGCAATATATCAGCTTCAATCTATACCGAATTCGAAATGCTTATTCAATTTTCATTAATGCGAATCAAAGTGGTTCAAGCGGCAGTCAGGCTATCAAATTTGTTGTATTATCCCCAAGCAAATGGCTGTGCTCGCATCCTAATTACAAATCGATAGACACATTTAATCATAACAAACTGAATGTTTAGAGTAGCGATAGCTGGAGCAACACAGGCTATCTTCCAATGGCAATCACTAGCAAATCCATAAGCATGGCAAAGCCATAAAAACAGCAGCCGAGAGCAGCGGCGTACGGACTGACGCACGGGACAGACGCTCTCGGCAGAGACACAAATAACCAGACAAGTTGGTTGAGGCAAACGGGCAACCAGCCAGTCAGCCAGCCATTCAACCACTCAACCACTCAACCAGTGAGCCGCCCGCAGGCCACAAAGCCAAAAACAAAAGCCGTAACGTATTCCCCTCGCCCACACTGAGGTGGTTCGTTGTCTACTTAGCGACTTGGCCTCAACTTAAAGTTGTTTTTGTTGCGCGTGTTGCTGTTGCTGTTCTTGTTGTTGTCTTGCAGGAGTGGAAGGCAGTTCATTGCCTTTATTACGATCGTTACGCGCCGTGGCCCGTACAGCTGCAAAGTTGTGAATTGTTTTGCTGAAAAGCTAAAATGGCAGCCAATGATAGAAAGACCCAGCAGAGAGCAGCTAACCAAAGAGTCGCCATGGGAAGCGAGTTCTTATGCCGTTTATGTTTTTTGAGAATTGACCACAACAGTTAAATGAAATGCGCCGTTTAATTAGAATACCAGCTTGACGGCGCACACAATATCGAAAATCCATTTGCCCACACAAATGCCATCTACATACATACTTACATACATGCATACATATATACACAAATATAGTAATTCAAATGCTCTCTTACTTACATTTGCATAGGGACCCGTTGCGCTGTTGTGTCCGAATACGTACATATAATTGCGCCGATTCACATCCGCATGGAACATGCCCGTCTGCAGCAGCGGGCCCACGACCCGGGCATCGGAGAGTATGTCCAGCACGACGTCGCGATGCTCCAAATTAGTGGCTTTTATCGGATTGTTGTACATGTCCTGGTATCTGTGTGTGGGCAGAGAGTGAATAAAAAAACAAAACACTACAATCACCACATGGCGTATACGTAATGCGCATTGTTAACAATTTTCGAATAGCTGACGCCGTTGTCGGTTGCACACTTCAGCGCTTAATTATGCGGTTCGCATTGTCCGAAAGTTCTCTGAGCGCACAAAATACGCAAAATACGCAATTCGTGGGCACAAAAGGCGTTAGAAAGCAGCAAACGCACTCAATGTGAAAAGTTCTTTAGTGTGGAGTATTTTTTAATAAAAAAAAAAAAAATAAAAATAAAATCAATGTACTTAATTTTAAATATACTCAATATATATTTTTCAGTAAATACTAAGAACTCCACTCCTTACCACATTTTCTTTTATTCCTTCACTCTATCAAACTCTGCTCGACTATTCAACTTATAGAGCTCTTGAAAGTAGATTAAATCTTTTTTCATTTCTAAATTCCTTACAAATTTCCACTTCACTTTAATAAAAAACATTCCTAATCCAATTTCTTATAGTGTCAGAACTTCATTTGCTTTGATTATTTGACGTATGCGCCAAAGGACTCAAATATGGTTTATGCCTCGATCTCAGCAGCCTTTGCAGCGCAGCGTGAAATTATTATGGCCCCAGCAGGACACCCACACACACACACACTTATATATATATGCACAAATATAGCAACAACAACGTACAGTCAGGGCTGTGCTCAATGGGTTCTCGGCACATGTCAAGCACAACACTTGGCCTTTTGCTAGCAGCTGCTACAGCCAGGTGAAAGCCGAGGGGAAACGGGGCGTTGCTGTATAAGAGCACATACACACACACACATATACATAGAAAAAATACTTGTCAGGCGCGTATTTCAACATCTTCTTCTGCTGCTACTGCTGCTTCTTCTTGTTAGCCTAATGTACAAATAAATAGAGCCATATTTTCTACATTTTCGCTCAGGTTTGCTTTTTGCCTTTTGGCCCGAGCGCCATGTTATGCATTTTATTGTCGGCTACTTAAGTTATGCGCTTTGACCTCGATACAGACAACAGCCAAGAGGCAAGTCTCTGCACCTTCAAGCCCGTCCACCCCGCCTCCTGCAGAGCCAGCCTGGGGCGGTGAGGCCCGGGCAGGGGGAGCACTCATCATGAATGTATGGCCCAAGGTACGAGTCGCTCGGTGGTCTTCTTTTCCACTTATTTTTACCCGTTAGCTACTGCTGCTGCTGCTGGTTTTCTTGCAGAGCTGCAAGTGCTCTGGCAGAAGGAAGCGAACAGCACTTGCTGTCTCCGGAGACACATGTTCGTACATAGCTGCTTGTTGTTATTGCTGCGTGTGTCATGTGGCTATGGTACGCGATATATTTATTTGCGGTCTCTATTATGTAATCCCACACACTTGAGCAAACGCTTAGAGCGAGCGCTCCAATTGTTGTTGCCAGCAGGACGCGAACGTCTATCCCGATGTGTGTGTGCAATAAATAAAGTGAAAATGTCAAGTCTATGTTTACTTAAAATGAGCTCAAGCAGCGCACTGGGCAAACTCTCTGCAATATTTCTTTAAATTATTCAACGAACAACAGCAGCAGCAGCAGAAGCAGAAGCAGCAGGAGCAGGAGCAGGAGCAGGGAACATGGCAATCAGCAGCTGCAAAGCGGAAGGAGGAACAGCTACAAATAGCTTAGAGAAATGGAACAGAATTTGATATGTCTATGGATTTGCTATTCCTTCGAATTACATTTAATTTACATTACCCGCTTTTCATTGCAGAAATAGTCTGAAATTCACGCTTAGTTGCTCATTAAAAACTTTTTCTCCTAAGCTGTAATGAAATCCAACTAATTTTCGACCGTAAATGCATCAGCAAAAAGAGATAAACGAAAATATTATGCGAAACCGGAAAAACTTTTTTTTTGTTTTTGCAGCGTGAATCCCAACCGAAAAACATATATGAGCATTTCTGGTGGCTTACAAAAGCAGCTGAAACTGTGCGAGAAGTTGAACCACCGCACGACAGTTGAATTTAATAGAAATAACCGCATACTATGTGCGTGTGTGTGTGCAACCATGTTACGTATACGCACCGCAAACAGTGCTGCAAAGGCAGAGGCCAAAGCAAACGTAACGCAACACCACGTAAAGCGGTGCATCGCAACGTAACGAAACGCAAAGTAAACTCTCCACTCAAAAAACTAACCGCAAAACACTTAAAAATCAAAACCCAAAACACAGAACACAAAACTTTAAGCGCCTCCGGCCGACAAGCAACAGAAATATGCACAGCAAACACTCAGAAAAGTATGCAACGAATGGAAGGATGCTTATGCGAAGGGCAGGCGGGAACTGGAAGCTGCCACAACAAAAGCGAACAATGTCGTTTTGTTATTGTGCCACGTCCACAGCGAGAGGCGAGACGTCGCTTGCACAGGAGACAGACACCTCGACTGCTAGCAGGCACTGTACTGTCGCTGGCTCTGACTCTGGCCATTCACACGGCAGGTCGGGTATATAAACTGTGGATTGCGCAGTAAACCACGAAATTGCTGATTAATGTATTAGTCACCTTAATGACCACTCCCCTTCTCTTTGTTGCCTTATTTCTTGTGCCGCCGTTGACCGACGGTTAATTAAAAGAAGAGGGGAAGGTAAATGAATATGAAAATGTGTGCAAGAGAGTCGTAGATGTGCCTGGTCATTTGGCTAAACACTTCTAAGGTTAAGGCTCTTTGATGTGCGATTGAGATGTGTTGCGGTTCGTCTAGACAATATTGTATACAGATGAAATTATTTGCACGAGAAAGTGGATCAATCAAATAAGAAGATGACATGGCATACGGACCAGACAAAGTAGCTCATTTTCAATCAGATGACATAAAACATAAAAGGCAAGGAAATGAACTTCCATGAATTGATCTTCGAATTGCTTCAGCACTAAACATTATTTTCAAATTTGATCCTTTTTCCTTTTTCAGTTATGTTTGATGTATGTTTGAGATTATCTAAATAATATACATATGTTATTAAGCTATGCAAGTAAAATATTAAGAGAGTGTCTTCTCTTCAAGTATATTGCATATTCCACATATTTCTCTTTTAATAAGATGATAATCATTAACATATCGCTAGAGTTGTTTTCCGAACTACTTTCTCATTCATCGTATGTTCAAGAACTATTTTCGAATGATATTTTACAAAGATCTTCATAAAATACTTTAAAACCTAAAGACAAATCATCTCATCAAATTTTTTTCGTGTATTGCTCCATTAATCATTGTCCAGAAAAAAAACTGTATTGAGTATTAAAATAAAGAAACTCTCCAGGCCAACCCATTCAACTAAACCCATATCCAGTCTATTTAACTTTTCAGCATAACAGAATGAGTCATTAAAACATGTAAATGTTTTTTCAAATAATTTCATGAAATGATAAAAACATTCAAATGAACCTCTAGATACCGTATCTATCCTACAAAACATGCCTAACAATATTAAGTATATATAAATAATGTATATATTTAAGGTCATTTTACCTCTTCATACGTTTTCTTCATACAAATAAAAGTTTATTATCATATACATATATAGTATATATGCATATATTTAATTATGCTGTTGCACAGTGTAATGGGACGTCTGTTTCCCGTTTCCCGTTCAGCCAGATCTCATACCCGGGGCCACTTTTACTGGCTGAGCAGAAGCAATGCTCACATTTAATTTCCGAACAGCGTGTGTGACACTTTAAATATTTCCGCACTCGAGAAGACATTTCGAGTGCTCGTAGGTGTGCATTTCGTGTGTTTGCGCGTGTGTGTGTGTGTGTATCTGTTGGAGTTCATGAGTGTGTGCGACAGTCAACTTTTGGTCGACTGCAGCCATTTGTAGTGCCCTACATTTTGATAGTCATTGGCAGAGTCGTAATGAATTTGCTGAACGGTTTTTGCTAATGAAGTTCTGCAAATAAAATGCAATTCCATTTTAAATTGCATTAAATGAGAATGTGCAGGAGGATGCCCTGAGAACATGTTTCGTTGTGGCAGACGAAGGTGTTCAGACTGGCGCCGCATTACAAGTGCAATGATCCCACATGGGTGAAAGTTGTTTCGGTAAAGCTTGAACATTTAATTGTTGTAAGAGCTTAAAGCGAGCATGGATTCGTTAAAGAGTTGAAGTTAAGCTAAACTGTTTTGTTGGGGTCTATGAAATATATACAAAATTTTTCTGCAAATTTCTTAATTAATAAATGCATATATATACTTGATGCATTAGTCCAAGCACTTTTTAGATTGCTTAAGCCATGATGTCTACTTTTTATTTACTGAAAAAGTTTAAATATAATATGAAGCCTGATTAAAGATATCCTGTGATACCCTAAATTATACGTTTGCCCTGCACTCATCTGCCTAAGAAATAAAAATTAGAAATTGCTTTCTTGAACATTTGCTTTGAATATCATTTTCAAATAATAGAATTTATTCCCTAGCTGAACCTGCTTGAATAATATTCATTTGTCTGAAATCAGCTTAGCATATGCTCAAGCAAACACATTATATCTTTGACTTAACTTATGCTCGATTAGCCAACAACTAGGCTGCTCTAGTCGGCTCCAGGCGCAATTTCCAATTCGAATTTCATAATCCCAAAACAAGCTCAGCCACAAATATGCAGCCTATATTAGCATACATAAACAAACTGGAATCAGAGCCTTTGCTAGCCCCAAAATCAAATCCATTTAATCGTCCTAAGGCCACACACACGCACACACACACACACACACTGATAGCAACTGATATGGCAGCAGTTCAAACATTTGCTTAAATAACTAGCTAACCCAAGAGCGAGCTGTATCTCTGGAAGGGCGTTAATGCTTGTGTCTGGCTAGGGTTAAAATGGGATGGCAGCTGCTGCCAGTGCTGCCTCTGCTCCTGTTGCTCCTTCCGCTGCTGCTGCTGCTTCTTCGGGGTTCGTAGACCCCACTTAACACGGCTGCCATTTCCGGAACCGCTGGCCCCAT